TTTAGACAAAGTCTCGGAAACTCAAAGTATAAGTTAATTTAAACTTTTCACCTTTGAAATTTCTCACCAAAAAACTTAGGTTTAACTGTTAAGGCATTTTACATTAACTTGATGCTGTCCTTGAGAAATAGAAAGTAAATTTTATAAATTTTAAAAATTTGGCCTGTCAGAGTATGAAATATTTACCATTATTTTACCTGTAGATTTCAAGCCACTGATTATAAACTGGAGTCCTCACAGCCAGGCTATTTTTTCCTACGTATTTCAGAGTAACAGGCGCTTACCAACGAATCTGTTTATCACATCTAAGTTTATTAAAAAGAGGTAATTTTTGTTTAGAAGGCTTTCAGACGCTAATCAAGAAGGTTCCAGATTAAGGAAAGCTTTACAACAGGATAACACACAAAAGGAAGAATGGCTTGAGCCCAAGCTGGTAACTGACGGAAGTCAGGACTGGGTCCTCTCACACTCTTGGTACTACACAATTCTACCTCTTGAAAGACGAATACTCTGTCATTTCAATTACGTGAAATGTACCTGTTCAGTGCACTTTGGCTTTCATTTAAATGACAGGTGATGCTGCTCTCCAAACACTAAAGTTAATTTTCGTTTTATAATATATAAATTAGAATGCACTAATTAAAATATATTTAAGTCACTGGGTGAAAGTGAAGAAAAGAATGATATAAAATCTCATTGTTCCACATTGTATTACTTTTTTCTGTCTAACCAACTTAGGAAAACCTGAAATTTAATTTTACATATTAAAGTATCACATAAGGTGTTTCAAATAATCATAATGCATATGGATAGAAAAACCACAATGCTCATATAATTCTTGTGTTCAAGTAGCTACAAAATATAACGGCATAAAAATACGGAATACCCATCTACTCACAGTTGAACAAGTACTCCTATAAGTCAGCCAGCACTGGCCACCCGACATAGCACCTACCGTGTGCGAAGCACTATTCTAAGCACTACACCAACTGATTCCTTAAAATAACCCTATAATGTCCTATTGTTTTCCCCATTTTACAGATGGAGAAGCCATGTAACTCCTAGGGTCACATGACCTGCACCCAAACTGCCCAAAGTCCAGCAAAAATGTCCTTTCAAAATTCTAAGCCTTCCTACCAGGCTCCTTGAAACCTGTGTTATAAATAAACTTGTTATATGATTAACATCCTCACAACAGAGTATTTCCCTACTTTTCCATTTAAAATTGTAGACCAGCTGAACCATCTCTAACTCTGCTCCATTGTTTTTTTTTCAATTTTTTTTAATGTTTATTTATTTTTGAGAGAGGGAGAGAGAGAGACAGAGCACGAGTGGGGGAGGAGCAGACAGAGAAGGTGACACAGAATCCGAAGCAGGCTCCAGGCTCTGAGCTGTCAGCACAGAGCCCGACGCGGAGCTCAAACCCACAAACTGTGAGATCATGACCTGAGCCAAAGCCGGATGCTGAACCGACTGAGCCACCCAGGTGCCCCTGCTCTACTGTTCTTGAGGGAAAGTTCTTCATCCCTCCTGCCCCAGTGCTTCAGTCTGAAACCCCCTGGGTCCCAGTACTCACCCACTCCTTCCAAAGTCGCTTCTCTGACAAGGACTCCATACTCAATGCTGCCACCTACACTCTGGTAATCTATGTAGGCAAATGCAATTTACAGAAAGTACCTCCAGAAAAATTCATACACTTACAAACTTCTGCAAACAATTTTATTCACAGCCCCCCCTGGAGCTCCTTTTGAAGCTCTTCCATTTAGAGCTTGCACACAACCCAATCCCACCTTCTCCTGGTTGTCTCTCAAAAGGTCTCTCCCTGAAGTGTGCATATCAGAATCACCTGGAATGCTTGTCAACAGCAAAACCGCTGGAATTTCCTTTGGCACTGGGACGGTCCAATGATGGAGTCCAGGAGTCTCCATGTTAAACACCACCCAGGTGATCCTTATGGTTCAGTAACACTTAAGACCCATCCCTAGGATGGAACACAAGGACCTGACTGAAAATTTCTGAATACTCAGTTTTCATCTCTGCTCTATCCCTTGGCATTATTCTAGAAAACCATGACATCAGTGTGATAATCTACAGTACCTATATATCAGCTTCCCCTTCTTACTTCCTGCACTCCAGTGAACAGCACTTGCTGTGGGTGTCAACAACACCCTCCTCCTATAATCACCACACCCTAGATCCAGAACTACTCAATTTGTCAATAACCTTTTAAGTGTTTTTTTTAATGTTTGTTTATTTTTGAGAGAGACAGAGACAGGATGCGAGTGGGTTAGAGGCACAGAGAGAGACACAAAATCCGAAGCAGGCTCCAGGCTCCAAGCTGTTAGCACAGAGCCCGATGCGGGGCTCGAACTCACGAGCTATGAGATCGTGACCTGAGCCGAAGTCGGACGCTCAACCGACTGAGCCACCCAGGCACCCCTCAATTTACCAATAATCTTAAAATCAATAGGGTGCTCTGCCTAACCCATCTTTCTCCCTTTCCCTCTATGTCTGCTCTTCGACCTAACCCTGACTCCAACCCCATGACTTCTGTCTCCTTGCACCTATCGCAAACCCCCTCAAAGCTCCACTCCTCGCTCTGCACAGGGCAGACGGTGGACTGTCTTGGGCACTCTTGTCAGCTACCGTGGACTGCCCGCGGACCACCCGTGGACCTTCCAACCCTATCCCAGGTGGCACTGCATGGGACGCTGTAGCTGGTTCCACAAGCCGTCACCCTGGGGCTTCTCTCCTGCATCTAGTTCACATCAGCCCAGTGACAACAATCCTGATTATAACTAATACTTACAGAGCACTTTCTGCACTTGATAACTACTACCTCATTTAATCCTCACAAGAACCCAACGAAGCTGGTATATTATTATCCTCACTACAAGCTGGTGACATCGAGGCTAAGAGATCAACTAACTTGCTTCAGGTCTCACGGCCAGAATGTGACAAAGCAGAGATTCAAACCCAACGAATCTCCTTCCACAGCCTGGACTCTGATTCCTTTTCTTCCTGCTCTAATAATAAAGGAGGAGAAAAGAAAGAAAAGGAAAAAGGCAGTTCCAGATATGCCACTGGGAGAAAATGAGGTCAGGGCTCCTGCTTTCTGGGAAAGCTTTGCCTGTTGCTCTGCTCCCCTCTCACTTTTTAACTTTGTTAACGTTTACTTATTATTTTTGAGGGGGCGAGGGGCAGAGAGAGGGGAGACAGAGGACCTGAGGCAGGCTCCGCACAACGTCAGAGCAGAACCCGATGCGGGGCTCGAACTCAAGAACCCATGAGATAGTGACCTGAGGCGAAATCAAGAGTTGGCCACTTAACCGACTGAGCCACCCGGGCGCCCCAATTATCCCATCCTTAGCTTTCCAGAGCCCATCTCCATAAAATGGCAACAGACAGGGGTACCAAAATTCATATGTATGTATATGTCATGTTCTGGAAAGCTTATAAATGAGCTTTACAAGTTGCGACCTTTGTCTTTCATCAGCCCAAACTTACAAAGAACAGCACGTAAAATGAATACCGTTGACCAATTTTGCAAACTCACCTCTTCTTTTTCTTGTAATTTTCCAATTGTTGGGACTGCATATGTTTGTATCTTTCTAATTCACACTGTCCACATAAATTCTCCAGATTCAGCAGGTGGTCTTCTACTTCCTCAAAGCTAGCCTCTAAATGAGCTGAAAGTACATAAGGTCCAAATAAAACAAAAACAATCAGAATCCTCGATCATGGAGAAAAGAAAGAAAAAAATGTCCAAAAGTTAAAAGCTGAAATTGGTTTGCCTTTATTTAAGATTCTTTGTTAAGCTTTCTTAAAGCAAAATAAAACACACTGACCCACTTTAAAATACACTTCAAATTGTCTGCAGCTTCTTTTTAGATTTCATTTCCAAGACGTAATTTTCCAACACACTTTAAATACGCTATTAACCAGGATGAGGAGGCAACAGAGCATTGTGATTTATCTCATGTGATATCCTAATGATCCCATCTACCACATGTGAATAATCAATTTTCAAATGAGAATATGGCAAATTAGAATTAACACAAATTATACCAAGCATGATTTAAAATTCGAGATTCTAAGTTACATGAGCAGAGCACTTGTTTTGCCTTGGCAAATGATATACGTCAATCTTCACAAGTCACGGCAGAGAAGGGACAGGTGCTCAGTAAGCACAGGTCACGGGTGGTGGGGAAGAGACAGCTCTGCCAGTCTCTACTGTACCTCTAAGGCCACAGAGCTCTCCGCTTCACCGGAACATGGAGATTATGCAGTCACATCCTTCATTTAAAAGATTCAAGACCAAAGTCTGCAGAAATTAATTCACCGCCTTGCACAAGGTCACCTAGCTACTGAAGGGCAGTTGGGAATCAGAACCGAGTCTCTCTTACACAACAGTCATTTTGAATTGATAGGGGACCAAGTGAACCAAGACTTCATAGCTGCAGATGGGAGAATCTGGTTGTCTTCTCAGACAGCAGAGAAGTTTTAGACGTCAAAGATGTTAGAACCCAAACAGCACTGCAGCCACTTACCAAATACTACATGCGCCAGATCCTGGGATACAGAGATGAAAAAGACAGTCCTTGTGCCCCTCGAGCTTAAAGTAGAGGGGAGACATATTTCAGAGACAACATGGCCTGGCAGAGCGAGGCATGCGATGCTCGGGAAACTCAAAAGAGTGGCCTCTAACACAGATGATGAAGAGTGAGGGAAAGGTCCAGCAAGAGACCGACTCCCAAATCTGGAAGTCACAGCCACCCAGTGGGGAAGACAAGGGGCAGCAGACAAGGAGTAAGCTGGCTGTGCCGCTCTCCAGTTATAATTTCTGTGCATCGAATTCCTTCACGTAGCCACTAGACTTTGAGGACTTTCCAAATAAGCTTTGTTGGCATCTGGGTTGGAAGCAAACTCCTCAAATTTCAACTTGCAGTTCTAGGTTTATTAGGATGCAAATTTTGGCCTGTTTGTGTCATTAATCTTTGATCCAAAGATCTGACTAAATATCTATGCTATCTATAAAACCTCCCTCCTCTTCTATTTGGTAAGGCTTAGGGCTTAAAGACACGGATTTGGGGTGGAAAATAAAATGTTACTGAAAAGTACAAACGTGATGACAGTTCAGCACTCCTCTTCAAAGACATTTTAGGTACTGACTTATATTGATACACTGTCAAGCACTGGGAAGTCTGCAAAGGGCTGATGATAATGCAGTTCATAACAGTTTTGAATGTATCTTCAGGGGCTACAAAAGACTGTTAATATATATGATTATGGAAAGCCTTACCTCGAACAATACGCAAACTCTAAGTGTCAATCAATGAGGAATTGAATCTGAGATTTTCAATAATGATTTGAACAGTACATAGTGAATTTACGGGGGAAAACAAGCAAAATAATGTTATTATATTCATTGCTGTTTAGATTATTTTCTGTTATTACACTAAATGGAAAAATTAATAGGAGCCTTAGTGTCAGAGCTGGTACTACTGGCCCTGAAGAAGCAATATTCAGCTCATTCTGTTATAACCAGCTTGACAGGGTCTTAAAAGGGGATCATAGCTAATAGGATTATTTAAACGGCTATTTCACTTTGATTAGTGATAAGAACTAGAATAATTAAATTTAATATGGAATCCATTTAACTCTATAAGCTACTCGGTTCCTACAGCATCATGCACGTTACCTTGTCATCCTTAGCTTACAGGGGACTGGTCAGGAGTAGGGCTTTGAAGCATAGCTTGGAAACCCAGCTCTGCTCCTGACAGATGAGGGGAGACATCTCATCAGTGAAAAAAGGGCTAACAACTCACATCTTGCAAAGATGTCAAAAGGGTCCAGGGGGGTAAAGTATATAAATACTGTATACTTACAAATAAATATAAATACCAAGTATACCTAACTTAGCATTTGACAGTAAGTAATTTAAAACTGACCATAGGGGCGCCTGGGTGGCGCAGTCGGTTAAGCATCCGACTTCAGCCAGGTCACGATCTCGCGGTCCGTGAGTTCGAGCCCCAAGTCGGGCTCTGGGCTGATGGCTCAGAGCCTGGAGCCTGTTTCCGATTCTGTGTCTCCCTCTCTCTCTGACCCTCCCCCGTTCATGCTCTGTCTCTCTTTGTCCCAAAAATAAATAAACGTTGAAAAAAAAAATTTTATAAAACTGACCATAAAAAATGCAGGGAAAAAAATGTATAAAAATTAGCTAAGTTTTGCAAAGGTCATTTAAAACTAGTAATTTTGTAGACCAGTAATGATCATGTTGTAAACACCTATGGATCTAAAAGACCCCCCCAAAAAAATCAATAAAGTTTCTTTTTTTTCTAGCAAACTTAAATACCTATAAATTATACTCTAAACCATGTTGTTAGACTTAAGATCCCTTTTAAGTGAGGAGGGCTGAATTTCAAATGATTTTCCTAAAAAGAAAATAAGTAATGGAAGCAATAATTATTCTATATTTGAAGATATATATATACATAGGTGTGTGTGTGTGTGTGTGTGTGTATAATTTTGGAGGGGAGGGGGGACAGCTGGCAATTTCTATTTAGAGTCTAGCTCTGTTGGTTGGCTATAGAGCTAATGAGGCTGGGAACTTGAATGAAATGACTTGATTCCCAGGCAGGTCAATTAATTTCTCATGGAGAGATTCTCTTCTAGATACATATGAAACTTACCATCCCAGATCATACTTGGGTTAATAAAATAGCGACCAAGTGAAACATGTGACTGATTTAGTACCAACCTGGAACTACTATATAAGAAACAAACAAACCATATGTCTTTCCTAATTGGATGACAGCATCCTGTCGTTATGTTTCTGAATGGCAAATCTAGATCTAGAATACTTGGGACACTCAGGGGCCATTTTATTGCTACCATCAAATCCATATTTATGTTCTCTCCTTTGGAAAGTTAAAGGCTCCCGAGCGCTTTAAGAATCCAGTTTAACTCCTTAACTTAGTACCCAGAAATCTATAACCCCACCCCTCCTGGGGCCACAACCTACTTTTCCAGTCTCACCACTTCTTACCTTCAGGACCACTCATCACTCCAAGATGAGTCGTTCATATTCCTGTCTCGCTGACTCCACCTGTCCCCCTGAGATGCCTCTGCTTGTCTCTACTGCCCAACCTCGTGCTCCCCTTGCAGGCTGGGGGGGTCCGGGGCGGGGGAGGGGGGTGGTGCTACTCCTCCTCCGGGCTGCAGGGCTCTCTCTTCCCCTGAGCTTCCACACATCTTTGACCCTTACACAGAACTTATGTTCTGATATTATACAACCATTTTTGTACTAACCTCTCTCTCAGGAATCAGTGAGGGCCTTATGGGTAATAATTATATGTTTGTATCTTTGTATCCCCTAATACAAAGGATATAAATCAAATTCAACTAAGAATGATTCTATCCCACCAAAACATAAAATAATAACCAAAAAAGCAAATGCATGATTCATGCTCCTCTAACTTAAATATTAGAAGGCTATGCTAAATTTTGTAAAAAGAATAAATTAAACATGGGCAGAGTACTTAGAAAACATTAGACAACACGATGACACTTTGTCATCAGTATGTCACATAAGGCCCAAATCAGTGAGCTACAACAGTAGAAGCAACGGGAATTTTCCATTTTAATTCTTAACAGGCTTGAAATCAGTAATCAAACATAGATCCACTGTACTGACAAAAATCAATTAAAAACTTAAAAAAAAAAACCCTTTAAGTGATAATGACAAGCATATACAGGATGATGTCCTCTGAATATCGTATACTACACCTAAATGGCAGAAGCCGAACGCCCCGTCACAGCCTTCTCATTTCCCATTACGAAATGAATCACATAGAGAACGTGTGTACATAAAAACACAAGCAGGCCTCCACAGACACAAACATACCTTGACAAGAAGCTCAGACTTGACCGTTTTGCTCACTGTAACAACAGCATATGTCTCACTTAGTGATCAGTGGAAAAGATAGGTGGAGTTTTATTGTGAAAAGCCATGTGGGAATGCCTGACAGCTGTGCAGGAAAGAGCTTCACAAATCTTTGTGGGGAGATGGTCCCAGAGGAAGAGCGATTCTCTTTGGAATTTTTCTTTGTGCCATTTGTCTCAAATACGTATTATCTGCAGCAGAACCACCGATATACAAAGAATGGGCTGGCACACTAAAATGATTTCATACTTAGTGATTACTTTTCTAACACACTAATTAGCCTCAAGGAAGAAAGAAATCTTCTTTGGTTGCAAACCCAGAGGTCACAGAGGCCAGGTACTAAAAGACTTGAAAGATTCTTCAAATGCTTCCATTACTCTTTTATGTACTAAGATAATACGGCAGTGACAGTATGGTAACGAGGAACTTTAAAAAGTGCATTAATTTGCAAAAGCCATTATGGAACAAACGAGGTCTCTGTAGTACATGAAAAGGTGTCTGAAGAGAGTTAATATGCCTCTTGATCGGTCTAATCTCAGAAATAACCTGAACAATAAAATAATCTAGTTCACGGAACACTTGCAGCTGTGGCAGTCTCCCTGCGAGACGCCCTCTCAACTTGTAAAAAGAAAGCAAAACAACGTTATCAGGTTAGGTCAGAACAAAAGAAAGACAGAAGCTCAGTATATGGCTGTCACTCTCTTACAGCACTTTGTTATCGAAGAATTCACAAATTCTGGATGA